AAGAATAAATTTTTGGACATCCCTCTTCTAAGAATTCCAATTGAGTGTGTTAGTGTGGCCAGCTCAGGGCAATATGATATTATAAACACAGCACATATCACGTCTCTGCTGTTTATAAGTTCATAGGAAAGAAAACACGCCATCCATTACAGTTGGACCGACTAAACCTCTCCCAAGAGCAACAGGAACTTTGCTGCAAGACAGGCATATGTAACGATGAATTAGCGCAGCTAAACTCGTGTGTCATTAAATACGGTACTCCTGACAACAGGCCGGCGAAAAATCTAACAATCTACAGCAAAACCATCAATTATTATGGGCGTTATAACATAGGTGTGCAGCTGGACGAAACATACATGTCGAACCCCCCCAGACGATTTAAATACCTGACGAAACATACACGTCAAACCACGCTGAACGGTTAATATGAAGTAGATGTACAGGAAGCACGTGCATATTATTTTTTTTGGTGGGAATTCATTCCCATAATAGAGCATTTAAAAATTTTACCTTTAATGTGACTGCGATATGAGATGGCTAAGTGGATAGACAGGCCATGTTGTTGAGGGGATAACCTTATGGAGGTTTTCTACTCAGTCGCATATGCTTAGAGTTTTTCCTTCTATTTTGAACGAGTAAACAGAGATCACATTAAAATTTGTTCTGTGTAATATATTCATATAACATGTCTGTACACATCTCCAGGTTTTGTTTGGCTTCCAGTGTGTATTAATTTGATGTACGAATTGTAAAACATTTCAGGAAAGTGACATTAAGCAACATTTTTATTTGATTGTATTCACGTTTCTAGAACATTATACATGTACCAGTTGAGTTTGCTCCTATGGTGTGTACCATACTGAAAGATCTTTCCATTTATTCATAGCTGTTCATGGAGAACACAGTAGGTACTGAATATGGTACTTGTGCCAGATGTGAGTTTTGGCCATATGCGCCCCCCCCCCCCCAAAATGAAGTTTCTCCATTGCAGTCCATCACCACTTTGTTGGCAGTTTGTGCAAACAGAAATTTGTTTTTACTTTAGTACTCCAGCTAGTTACGCAGTTATGATATTTCAATACATGTTTTGTATTAATACTGATAAGAAGTAATGAATGTAAATTAATTTATATATCTCAGTTGTCAGTCTTTGATATTGTATGAACATATTTACACCTGAACAAGTTAAATATGTGGTTCCTGATATGGAAAAAACTCTAAGCTTAGATGATCAAACCCAAGACCTCCACAGTAAGAGCCCACAATGCTATCCTTCAGGCTGCCAGGTTCTTCTATTGATGTCATTATATATTGTAATTATATCAAAGGGAAAACTCTGAGTCAACACTTTTGGAACTAAGGCTCATTGGATAAAAGGACAAGACACATGCCACTAATTTTCCATCTACTTCCCATTGAAAACCACACCCCAAGTCTCATGCCCTCTTCTTGCAGTTAATATCAGTAGTCAGTACATTAGTAAGGAGCGGTTGTAACGTGTTTTAGTGGTAGCTGTTTTCTTTTAATGCAGGTTTTCTTCAACCTTGAAAGACATCGAAGAGTCTGCACAACAACCCCGCTTTACAGTAGAAGGAATTGAGAAGCTCAATACACAACCCTCTGAGGAACTTTCTCAGAATCATACCTCAGCAGCAGTTGATCCAGTTATAATAACTGCTAAGGGTTTGTTCCCCTGTAATATTTGTGATAAAAGTTTCACACATAAGAGTAAACTGAAGGAACATGTAACAAGACATGTGGGGGTAAGGCCACATGTATGTGAAGTCTGTGGAAAGAGATTCAAGGAGCGTAGCGGTCTGAAGCAACATGCTATATCACACACAGGACAGAAGGCATATGTGTGTGAAGTGTGTGGCAAAAGGTTCACATTGCTTACCCATCTGAAGACCCATAATTTGGTTCATACAGGGCAGAAATCACATGTGTGTGATATCTGTGGCAAGAGATTCAGTCAGCTAGGCAACTTCAGGAAACATGCATTACTTCATACAGGAGAGAAACCCTTCAGTTGTAGTCTATGTGGTAAATGTTTTTCTGAGAAAAACACCTTGAAGATCCATATAGCTGCTCATGAGGGTCAGAAACCACATGTGTGTAGCATCTGTGGTAAAAGGTTTGCTCAGCGTGGATATCTTAAGACACACGTAATTGTCCATTCTGGACAGAAGGAATATTGTTGTGATGTCTGTGGTTCCAGTTTTACTAGGAAACATAATCTGAAGAAACATGCAGCTAAGCACCTTGTTCACTGACAACTTTTTGTGTGGGGTACACCTTGACTGGCTAAACCAGATGCATACCTGAGGAGCTGCACCACAATTTTGAACTTTTGTGAAGTGTTATTGTTCCATGTGTGTGAAATATCCTTTCAAGTTCAGTACACAAATAATGGAATGATAGAGCTTACTCATGTGACTGTGAATATGAGATTTATATATGAATGTGTGTTGCATTCAACTACAGAAACTTTATGTTTACTATGAAATCCTAGGAGAATACTAGGATTTGTTAATAGGAAAGTAAGAAAGTGTACTCTAATCATTGAACTTGTATAGATTTATAAGCAGTTAAATTTTATGTTTGTATATTACCCTAATTCTGTTTAGAAGAGCGAATGATCAGGAGCTGGGGTAGCATAGTTGGTGTAGCGACTAGCTACGGTCTGGATGACGAAGGGGTCAGAGTTTGAGTACTGGTAGAGTCAAGAATTTTCTCTTCTCCACATTGTCCTGACCGGCTCTGGGGTCTCCCCAATCTCCTTTCCTCGGGGGGGTAAAGTGGCCAGGGTGTGAAGCTGTCCACACACCTCCAGCTAGTACCAGGGTCAAGAAAATGTGGATCTATACATTCACTCCCCCATACACCCTCAGGGTGTCATGATTAATTAGTTAAGCACAGGGATAAGATTTGCCTTTACCTAATAGCATATGATCTGTGGTAAGGAGTATTGCTGATACAGCTAGTTCTATGAATGGATCACATCTCACATTTCATAAGCACATCTAGAAATTATCATGAGGCTGTATTGGGATTTTCTTTCCACATGACTTCCGTTTTAAGTTCATTGTACATTCTCATCATGGTTATTACTAACATGGAAAGGCAATATGACTTGGGTAAGGGAATTTCAACAAAAAATTAATTAACCCTTTGGCGCGGTCATTTAAATTCCGCGGCCGCGTCTCGGGCGGTAATATATTCAGCCGGCCATTTAAATTTTGCTCGAAAATGATTTATTCATCATTGTTCTTAAATTCTATGAGGTAGGAACATGAAACTTTCACTAAAATGATCTTAAAAGGTGGTTTTATAACCTTACCTTATAATATGAGCGCCCTGTATCTCGGCAATGGAGGCAGGTTGTTTAGTATTTGAGCAGTGAATGGTATGCCTTGAA